TTTTGTTCCGCGTTACTTAAGATGAATTTCTGCTCCAACACAGGTCTTTGCGTCTCAGCAGTGTGAAAGGTTAGCTTTCTCTGTGGCTTCTCAATTTCAGTGGAATAAAGATGGTTTCTCTAAGCCCTTAGACTCTTATTTTGTCTACCAGAAGAAGGCATGGATTATAAATATGGGCTGACGCACCCTCGCTTTGAGTTTGAGCTTCTGCTCTCTCCGCTGCTTTCCCTGGATACTTTAGCCAGAGTCAGTCCTGATGGCTTCGCTGTGGGTACTTGTTTGGGCTCCTGTGTTGCTCTCATTGGCTGCCCTTTTTCTGCTAAGAATACTTCCTATGCAGTGTGTCTAAAATCTTTCAATCATGGTACAGATTTGAAAAGATGTTAATGAAACATTTTCCATATCATTATGTGAAAGGGTCTATGATAAAATAATGTTCTGTATATTTGCTTTGTGCATGGCACTGTTTATGGGTATTTCATTAGTCCAGTTCTTTACCTTTAGTTTTTGGCTGTTATTTGTAGATAGGTTTTGGCTATGCTGTCCAGGCTAGTCTCAAACTTGTGGGCTCAAGTGGTTCTCCTGCCTCAGCCTCATGAGTGCTGGCACTGTACTGCCATACCTGGCTCTGCTTGTATTACTGTGAGGTCCCTGTAGGATACAAGTTCTTCTTAGGTACATTTTGCAGATGAGAAAATTGAGAAACTGTATGTTAGGCAGACAGGTCCTGGAGCCAGTTGCCTTCAGTGCCACTGTTTCTTACTACTTTCCAGTACTGTTTGTTCCATGGCTTAGTACTCCCTTTGTGTTATGTTTTCAGACTCCAGTGATAACTAGTGGGAAGTTGGTTGCTTATGAAAGGGTGACTCGGGTGATCTGGAGTGGTCAGGTTGGCCTGTAGTATCCAGGAGCTCACTGGGAACAATTGCTAGCCTCAGTGTACTTCATCCTTTCAAGATTTAAGAAAAATGTAAAACTGGCCAAGATAGCTCAGCAGACTGAAGCACCTGCTTAGGCAGAGTGCAGCGGCTGGGGTTTGATCCCCCACATGCTGTGCTGGCCCCACCCCCTGGGGTGCCCTGAGACAACATTGGAGACTGGGCATGGTGGCATGTGCCTGTAATTCCAGCACTGGGTGGCAGAAAACAGGAGAATCACTGCTAGTCCGATCTATGTAGTGAGACCCTGTAGACCCTGCACGAAATACATAAAAAATGTATTCCCCAGCCTTTTCTGGCCTAGATTTTTCTAGATACAGTGCAGAGCACAATGAGGGGTCCAGCATGGTCATGAAATTTTAATAGAATTTTGTGTCCATGTTACCTCCTATGTCTCCATGTCTCTAATATGTCATATATTATCTTTATTGGTGTAGTTAGGAGTCTTGGCTGCTTTGATAGGCTAGGCCTATATGCGGAGCCAGGTTTTCTACTAATACCTTTCTTCTTCCCAGTGAGGTGTCTTGTCAAGTTTGAACCTTGTAGAAAGTAAAAAGTCACATTACTGAAATGAATGTGGGGGTAAAGAGAAATACAAGTAGAGAATTACAAGTTGGCACTCGGAGGCCCAGGACAGATAGCCAAGGGTTGTCAGTGTGGTGTGCTGTGTTGGGGAGCCTCTCAGGTGGCCCCCAAAAGATCCCACCTCTTGGTGCTTTTGTGTAATCCCAGGTGGGGTCTTATGACTCACAGTCAGTAGAATAGAACAGACATTGTTTGGCACCTCCTAAGTTAGGCTAGCACATGCAGGAGGCTTAGAGAGGTCCTTCCTGTCTCATGCAATGCCAATTTTACATGGAGCCGTCCTGGCAGGAACTGAGACAAACTCCCAGCCAATAGGAATGAGACACTGTGACCCTCAGCATTGGGCCCTGATTCCTGTCCATTCCCAGGGAATGAGCTTGGAAGCAGACCCCCTCCATAGCCTTAGCGGAGACACAGCCCCAGCCAGCACAGGATTACCATTTTATTGGAGACACTAAGGTAGAGATATGCAGCTAATGTGCATTTGGTTTCCAAGTTCACAGTAACTGATATAATAAATATGTGCTTGCTAAACCCCTGAGCTGTACAAGAATGGGCTACGAATGTACTACTAATAAATACAATGAGATTTTCTGTTGTGGGGGTGGGTCTCTACGTACACTGCAACAGATCACAGAGGATGTATTAAGTTTCAGGTGTCCACGCTGTCGGGGATAAGGGTCCAGACTGGGGAAGGGGAGAGATAATCAAGCACAACATGGAAATGGCTGTCCAGTCCCATCCATAGGCACCCAAGTAAAAATGATGAAAGCTGGAGAAAGACAGGCACTAACGTGATTCATGGCTTAAAACAATGTACTTGACAAGAGCAATCATGACATGTTAAATTAGGATAATAAAGACACCTACTTTATCTGACTTCTAAAAATATGCAAAGGATTTGAAAATGTGGTTACTCGTGTTTTGTGTTATATTTTAAATTAATGTATTTTAAGGTAAGTTCTTAAAATATATCCCTTTTTGTTCTGTGCAATTCTTTGAAAGCACAGAGACAGGGTTCTTTTTCCCATGCAGGCCTTCACACAGATGTATTGCTTTGATTTCTGATCTTTGGTGATTTATATTGCTGTACATTAGAAGAAGACACATGTGCTATGTCTTTGGCATTGAGGAAGGTATAGAGGAAGGAGCACTAGTAATAACAGTGACCCACTGGAAGACACTGGATGGACACTTAGGGCCATCTGCTGTGTATGGTGTCACATGTCCAGTGGGAGACTTGTTTGCTACAGGGGGGTCCTTGGCTGTGTAATTGGTTTTTCTGTACTTAACGTTATGTCATGAAGTAGTGTAAAATTCCAAAGAAGAGTTTTTGTTTCTGTTTAGGATTTCTGATTTTTTTTTTTAATAGGTGGAGTATTGTATTTTACTTTATTTTATTTTTGGTGGAACTGGGGATTGAACTCAGGCCCTTGCACTTGCCAGGCAAGCGCTTATTCTACTGAGCTATTTCCCCAGCCCCTAGGCTGTGTGTTTTTAATTTTTATATTTTGTATTAAGTCAGCTACTTGAGCTCCACAATGAGCTGTTTCATTCTTCATTTGGTAACAGCACAGTTGGGTTAATCAGCTTTTCATTGCCATCACAAAATACTTGAGGAAGTCAACTTAAAGGTGAAGAAAATGATTTGGCTTATGGTTTGAGCATCCGTAGTGTCTTGGCCTTGTGGTTTCCGGGCCTTGGGAGAAGCAGAGCATCGTGGGGAGAGGCATGGCGGGGAAAAGCCCCTCACTTCTTGGCAGCTAGAAAGCCCAAAATGAGGGGTGTAATCAAAGGACAGATGGGGCTTTTATGAACTTTGCTTGAGCATGAATGACTTCATTGTTTCTTTGCATTTTTCTTGGGATGAAATCTAACACTAAGTTGACTATGAGCATTTCCTTCATAGTTTTTCTGTTAATCTGTCACTTTATCACCTAAAGAATGTAGTTAGAATTACTGGATTATTACCGAGTTGATGAATTCCAAACTTTTGCATTCACTGTTTTTTTGTTTTGTTTTGTTTTGTTTTGTTTTGTTTTGTTTTAAGATTGAGACTCTTCATAACCTTAAGGGTGGCAATTCTATCCATTCATAAATTTTCTATCTTTAGTTTTTATGCATTTTTGTTACATATTAGTTTAGAAAAAATTATTAGTTTCTTTGAGTTAATTTTTGAAATATGGCCAAATTTAGTTGTATTGTGGTTTTACTTTTTGTGAGTCATCCTCTAGGCTATGTTTGCCTTATGTGGTTTGAGGAATAATGAAACTTGCCTGAGAATCTTAATCAAATTCTTAATTTATATTTGAGATCTCTCTTTTGAAACTGAGAAAATGGATTATTATTAGGGTGGAAGTATCATATTCTACTTAAGTACTGCTTGTTGGTGAATCTGGGCTCTCTTCCCAGAAATGTTAAATTACCTTGGTTAGAATTTTCATCCATCTTTTGCTTCCATTTTTCACCTTTTTCCTTAATTCTTTGTTGGGAGTTTGCCAGAGTCAACCAGAAAATGTCTCATGTGCTTTAAGCTTTGAGAAAAGAAAATTGATAAAATGACTCAATAATCAAAATGAGTATATCCAATTTGTAATTGTCTACCTTCTGATTTTTCTCCTAGAAAATTTTAATCCATGAGAGTGTCCTTCCCTGGCTAATTGGCACAGGTCCATCTAGGCAGATTTACCTTGAATCTGGCCCACGTACATGTGTGGAGTGTGGAATACTTTCACTTGATCTGTGCCTAACTTTGTAACAAAATGCACCTACTCCAAAATACAACATAATGTTTCCTGATCAACAATTACATGTAAAGAACATATTCCTGGCTTCTGATGTTCTATTCTGCTTCTTCCTTATATAACCATGAGTGGTTTGTATTTTTAAGGATCCATTTTTTTTAGGTTGAGTTTGTGCTAATCTTGATCAATCTCAGTGAATTATCCATTGATTATTACCCTTCAAGGAATTATAATAGGAAATGTATGGTTCCTTTCTATCCTGTGTCTGTCAGTTTAGTGATTAAATTTAACCTCTGGAAGGTGTTTTAGAATATGGGAAAGTGTAAATATTTATCAGTAGCTGTATAAAACTAGCATGCCGCAGGTCTGCATAATCTGATCCAGCATTCTGATTCTGCATGTACCAGACGCCTATTTTTCTGGTAGTAAGCAGAGATTTTTCAAATTCATTCAGTGGGGTGGTGAATGGCAGATTTACAACTTTTCTTTGACCTTTGACTGGACTATATTCAGGGCTTTTAGCTCTTGTGGAGCAGATGAAAGCTTTAGCATTTGACATCAAGCCCACTGACACGTCAGGCACATGGTCTGTGGGGTGGGGAAGCGGAAGTAGTGAAGTTAGAGTCCCTATCCCCTCCCACATGTGGGTCTCTTTACCAAGCAGGTCCAGCATCTTTACACAGGTGGCCTATGGCGATTTATGTTCCTCATTTTGTCTTTTTTTCCCCTATAGCTGTTGTTAACTTGGACAATTCCGTGGTGGACCTGGAGACCCTTCAAGCTCTCTATGAGAATGTGAGTAATAGAAGGAATTTTATGTGTGAGTATAAAATATATACACAGTATACATCTCTGTACACATGTAGGCTCGTTGTTTTAATATTCTCCAAGGAACTTTGATCTGGATACGCTGAATTTACACAAACAGGGATTTGTAACGACACTTTCTAGGAAAACATGGACAAATGTATATGCTCATGGTTTTAGAGACTGTGATTCAAAATATGTTGTTTGTGAAGTCACTTGTGTTTCTGCTTTTGAAATATTAGTTCTTATGTGGGAGCTAATTTGGTCCAAGCCTGCTTCTATGCACTTTACACACACACACACGCACACACACACACACACACACACACACAATTTCAAGTATTTACTTCACAGAAATTGAATATTCAGGGCCAGCCAGATAGCTGAGCAGACTAAAGTGCCTGCTTAGGCAGAGCACAGTGGCCGGGGTTTGATTCCCCAGTGTGCTGTCGTCCCCCCCCCCCCCCCAGTGTGGGGGGAGGGGCTGCTGAGAATGCAATTAAGACTGGTCGTGGTGGTGGCGCATGCTTGTAATCCCAGCTCTTGGGAGGCTGAAAACGGGAATCACTTCAAGGCTGATCTATATAGTGAGACCCTGTGGACCCTGTCCTAAATACATTAAAAAAAAAAAAAAGAAATTGAATATTCAAGATGCATAGCCTGCTGATTTGATCTGTATACATATTGCATGATCATTGATATAATTAGATGAACAGATATATTGCTACTCAATCTGAACAGTAGGACTCCAGAACTTATTTACCTTATAACTGAAAAAGTGAACGTTTGCACCCTTTGATCAATACCTCCCCACTTCCCTGACTTCTCACCCTTTGACAGCTACCATGACATTGCCGTATCTGGGCTCAGTATTGTATGATTTTTTTTTTTTTTTTTTTTTTTTTTTTGTCTTATTGTGTCCGGCTTATTTAACATAGCATCATGTTCTCTGGTTTCACACATGGTGTTGCAGTTGTTAAGACCTCCTGCTTTCTTAGGACTCGATACTATTTCATGGTGTGTATATGTACCAGTTTCTTCATCATTCGTTTATCAGTGAGTACTGAGACTGTTTCCGTGTCTTGGTGGTTATCGGTAATGATTCCGTGAAGATCATGTTGCAAGAACATCTTCTACATAACAATTTCACTTCCTTTGTGCCAGAAGCAGTATTGATGGACTATGTGGAAACTCTGTTTTTAATTTTCTCGCATAAACACCACGGTTTTCCATAATGGCTGCACCAGTCTATTCCCACCAACAATGCGTATGGTTTGTCTTTTCCCCACATTTTTGCCAACACTTATCTCTTCTCTTGTTCATAATAGCCATCCTAAGAAATGCAAAGCTCATCTCACTGTGGCTTTGATTTGCACTTCTCTGAAGAACTATTATATCTAGAAAAGAGTCGTGGCATACTCTCGCTTTGTCTCTCAGATGCACATTAGGGTTCTTTTTCTATTTCTGCTCTTGCCTGTGATCTGCCTGGTATATAAGCTGGTGTGCTGTTGGGGATGTGGTCTTAGTTCTTGGCTTTTCTGTCCCAAGTCAAAGAATTTCTGGGTCTGGCAGGTGCATGTGGTGAAGGCTCTGTTCTTCGACTATTCCTTTGACAATTATGTGTGTGGCATACTGGTCCACTCTTGAGTTAGATTCTCTAAAACTTACACATTTGCGATCTCCCTTGTGAACTTGAGATCTTTCCAAGAGATGGTATTTCTCATCATGCATCGTACAGATTCTGCCAGTTCAGCATAGAGTTGTTACCCAAATAGCACAGTGAGTGTGAACTTTTGATGAGACCAAGTCATGACCGAGTACTCAGAGGAAGGTTTAAGTGATCTACCATGTAGTTCTCACTATATGGTAGAAGAACCTGGAACACTCAGTCCTGTGTTCAGGGCATCGGTGTGTGAGTGTTAGGATGCGGACTTTCCATGTTCCATGACTCTTTCTTGCTAACCCTCTGCCCAGCAGGAAGACAGTGCTCATCAGCCTGCTCTGTGCTGCTAAGCAATACGGGACACCTGCCACAGAAGGGCGGCGGGATTGGATTTTCCTCACGTCGTCACAGGATTCAACCCTTTAGTGGCTCCAAGTCAGAAACTGCAGGGTGAAGCAAAGCTGCTTATTTCCTCGTGGTCAGGAGCAGGGAGGGGACGTAGCACAGAGGAGGAAGGAGCCAGTGACTAGACATAGCGCCCAAGGGCACAACTGGATCAGCCACTCAGACACACCCAGAAGCATGCATTGCTAGTGCCCTGGGTGGCGCTTAAGCCAGTCACGTTAACAGTCTAGCTTAACTGTCACAAGCATCCTATGGAAGAAGTGAGGACATGCCAGGGGAAGGGACTTTCTTCACCAAGTGATAGTGAGCTGAGATATCAGGATATGTGTGTTAATCTTTCACATATATTACATGTGCATATATCAGTCCTTGAGACTACGTATTGTGTGGGTACACCTATGTACATAACAGTCTTCCTTGAACCTAGTGTATTAATGTATAGAAATGTACACAGACAATTATAGTATCTTGTGCAATTATATTCAGTAGTAATGTTACATATTTTCTTAGTTTTTAGTCTTTCAAAGTAAGGTGATTTCACAAAAAAATTCTGATTCAGGATAAACTATGTACCTACTCAGAATTTATATTATTTAAAAAATTGTTAGATTCAAAAATCTTCGGGAGATTCTCAGGATCATTGCCTTGCCCATCTTCTACATATAACAATATGGCTTGACATTGTCATGTTTCCTAGCTCTTCTCCTTTTCCTCTCTTGATTAGTTAGTCCTCAAGATCCTGCTTCCCTTTTACTTGTATTATACCTTTCTATTTGTATTTCTTCTTTTGAGTTCTTATACTAGGGAAACTATACAATGTTTACACTTGTGTGTCTGGTTTATTTCACTTATGAGTATATGTTGAAGTGGCATCCACTTCAATATAAAAGCTTCGAGTTTATCATTCTTAATAGCTGAATAATAACTCCATTGTGTAAAAATTATGGGGCCAAAGAGGAAAGTGATTGATGATGTAGAGTGTGCCTAAGGAGAGTCACATGGAGAGAAAACATTCTCTCAGGCTTTCACAGAGAGCACATTGTCCATGCAATGGCCGTGACCCATCCACATGGCTGACACTGACAAAGGTTCTACAATCTGAGGTACAGGATCTCAGGATAAATCCTGAGGAGATTTCACTGACCTTATCAGACCCAAAAGCTACAACTCTTGTTGCATAAGTCCTGCTTTACCTTGGTCTTAACCATCCAGCAGAAAAGTATAAAAACAAAATATAAGAAATAAAGCCATACTGTTATGTTATGTTGAGCTGTAGGGGACTCAGTTCAACAGTTTCTGACATTGCTAGTAATAGACCCAATACTATTATGGACTACTGGACTCTTTCAGAATATTTTGCTGAGTTTACACACCCATAATATTCAAATAACAGAACTTAACAAAAAAAAGGGGATACAGATGAATGTCCATTTTTGTTTCTATGTATTCAAAGTGGTTAGGATAGATATATGGTTACATTCTCTTAATGAATAGAGGGATTTGTTCTAATGGTGTTTGTAAATAAGATATCATATCCGCATCTTGTACCGCAATTAACCACTAGGAAGAATGTATGCAATGTGTTAATTATTGAAACTGTCCAACCAAAAAAAATTGTTCTTTGCATTATTTTAAAATTTAAATATTGTGAATTATATGTGTTTATATTGGTACAAAGTCATGTTACGATTAACAAATCAATTGTCATGATAATTAGAGAATGCACTGGAGTAATTGAGAGAACTCATATATTCACCATCTCCTTTACTGTTTGTGGAAAGACCACTGGAATCTAGTCTCTTAGCAGTTCTGAAATGCACAGTATGTTTACTATATTTACCACACTGTGTAATGCAGCTTTTAGAAAGAGTTATTTCTATTTAGTTGAGCCTTTGTCCCCTCTGTCATCATTTCCCCGTCCCACGCCAGCCCATTTCTGGTAATCGCCATTCTACATGATGTTTTTTGAATAAGAATGTGAAAACTTGACGTATTTGTCTTTCCGTGCCTGGTTTATTTCACCTAGCATAACACTTTCCAGTCCCATCAGTGTTGTTGCAAATGATAAATTTTCTTTGGCTTTTAAGACTGAATAGTGTTCCTTGTGTATATACCACATTCTGGATACTATGTTGATTCTGTTAACTTGATTATTGCAAACAGTGCTGCAGGACCTTCGAGAGTACAGTTGTCACTGCCACATACCTATTTCACATCTTTTTCTATACATTCCCAGAAGTGGGATTGCTGGTCATACGGTAGTGCTAAGTTTAGCTTTTTGAGGAACATCCACACATTTTTCCATAATAGCTGTACTGTAAATTTCTATTTCCACTGATAGTATCCAAAGTTTCCCTTTTCTCCACATACTCACCATGTGTATTGCTTTTCTTCTTATTATTCATGGCCATTGTGGCCAGTGTGAGGTGCTGGCACTTCATGGTTTTAATTCACATATCTCTAATGATTAGTGGTGTTAAATAATTTTAATATGCCTGTTGGCTGTTGGTAGATCTTCTTTTGAGAACTGTCATTTGCCCATCTTTAAATGGGGTTTTAAATGTTTTCCATTTACATTCCCTATATTTTGACTATTAACCTCTTAGCAGATGTGTCCCCTTCCACGTTTTATGTATTTGATGTCAGAATTTACATCACTTTGTAGTGTATATCCCTTGATGCTTTTGTGAGCTATTTTGTTATTATAGTTTTATGTTTTAATCCTCACTGTGAAGCATGTTAGATAAAATTGCTTCACACACCATCATGACAGCCTTAGAATGTTCTGGCTATCACTCTGCATTACTGACACTGTTCAGTTTTATGCTTGTGTATGATTATGTTATCAGTTAGTGTTCTTTGTTTCAGCTTACAGAATTCCTTGTGACAGTTGCTGCTGGGCAGGTCTAATGGTGAACTT